CCCCGAACCCCACCCCCATCCCTATCCCCTGAAACCCACCACCACCCAACCCCACCCTCATCCCCGAAACCCACCACCACCGAAACACATCCCCATCCTTGAAACCCAGCACCACCCAACCCCAACACCCACCTCCATCCCCTGAAACCCATCACCACTGAAACCCATCCCCATCCCCATCCCTTAAAACCCATCACCATCCCCGATATCCACCACCACCCCTTGACACCCACCCCCATCTCCTAAAATTCACAACCACTCAACCCACCCCCATCCCCAAAACCCACCACCACCCAAACCCACCACCACCAAAATAGAGAAGGTTGAGATGAAGATCTTCGCCGGAGATGGAGATGTTGCTGGAGCTGGAGTAGCTTGTTCGCCAGACATATTTTGGCATTGTTTTTAAAACAAATTAGTAAAAAAAAAACAAAAACATTCACTAAACGCATTTTTTTTTTGCCACAAAATGAAAACAAAAACAAAAAAAAACAAAAACATCGTTTTATCAAACGGCACCTAAAGCACCATGGTTTCCTGTTGATGATTTGAAACTGCATAGTATCAGAAGGTTAATTTCAAGGAACGAACGTTAAGGCATTTTGGAAGAGTATGAACATTTTAAGACTTTTAAATGAACCCTATTACATGCATCTCTGTCAACCAAAACCAGATATTCTTGCCCAAGAAAATTCTCTGCAAGATAGACTCATGTAATGTGGCAAGACAAAACAATCTAACTGTTCCCCTACTGAAGGCCTCATTGAGAAATAGCAACAGAACAACATTCAGGCCATGCATACTCTTAAAGAGGCAGAAAACTGCATCAAGAAGTTAATGTAACAAGAAACATGAACACCACACCACACACGGAAAGAAAGGTCAAGGTAAAGGAACACTTACTCTGCACACATGACAGATGGCCAAGGAAGATTCCAATAGACTTAACAAATTGATCACGATATCCCTAGGAAGCTTCTTCACCACTTCTGAAGAAAATCGTCCAACAGATTCAGAATCGAATCCTTTAACAAGTAAAGGGTGGTCACAAGCCTGACGAAGGCGCAAAAGCATCAGTAGAATACTTGCATAGTTTTGATTTACAGTGCCAGCATCAGCATATGCCTGCATTAACAATTATAAATTCAGAAACACAAAATGAAGCAAAGAGAATATGTGGATTCATATGTCCACTGTTCCTAAATCAGTTAAAATCAAATGTTTTATAGTACTTCATCAAATAGAAAATAACATGTCAAAAATATCTTAGATTTCAAAGATTAGATCATCTTGCACAAATAAAACAAAAATGCCAGAAATTTTCATTAAGATTTGAGGTATCATACAACTGACCTCATTATTATTGCTACGCTATTAACCGAAAATGATTTAAACCTACTCAAATAAATACTTAAGAAACTTCTGAGAAAATAGAGGTCAACAAATCAACATCACAACCAATGTGCAAACGAATAAATCGGGGCACAATCCACATACATTCATCTTCACCAAGTCTTTTCCTTCGGAAAAAATTCATATATTAGGTTCCAACCTGGGATTATTTGCTATATCTAGTCTAGTTTTGAGTAGGAGAGTTAGCAAGTAACAATAATCAGGTAGCAGGGTTATTTTAATGTATACCCTATGTTCATGCATATATATATATATAATTATGATATTGTGAAAAACTTTTGCTTTCCCATTTTATCCTTGACTTATTATGTTATGTCAATTTCATCATTGATCAAACAGCTACAATAACTTGTTTAAGGCGGGCCGTATAAATTCTAGGTTTAATGCTTCCACATATAGAGATGTCAGTGGACCGAAGCGGAGGCGGGGAGTGTAGTCTTTATCTCCGTACCCACTTAAAAAAACTCCGTCCATCCCCGGTCTACCCCCGTTAACGGGTATAGTTTTTATCCCCATCTCCGTCCACGGATAAATTTCTAATCCCCGTCCCCGTCCCAGCTTCCCCTGTACCCCCCTAAGCCCAAACCAAAACCTAAGCCTAAACTCAAGCCCAAGTAGCATAATCTAAAATTTTAAATAAATCTAAAATTTTAAATAAATCTAATATTTTAAATAATTCCACAACATTCTAAATAATCTAACATAATCTAACACAACATAATGTAGATAGCAAAATGTAAAAGCCAAAACAATATAAAATTCTATGTCATTGGACCACAAAAAGAGAAACAAAACTATTATAGAGAAATGAAGAAAAGGAAAATAAAATTGAACTAAGAAAATAATAGCACTACACTTGAAGTTTCCTAAAATAATTTTTGTTATTACAATTCATATTACAACCATAAAGTGTTAAAAGATTAAAACTTAAAATTTCGCTAATTCAATTATTCTCCCCATTTCTTAGTTCACTCTAGTAGAGAAACTCATCAACATTCATTCACAATATTTTTATCTACAATGAAATACAAAATTATCTTACTCTCTCTTATCTGTTTTTAGAGCATGGTCAATCCAAATTCCTAACAGTTTCAATCAGTGAGCACATACAAAAAAGAACAATCATGGAAAAAGTTGATAAGATTACCACATAGAAATGCCACTTGTTAGTTTGATTACCATATTTTTAGATTGGTAGTTACAGTAAATATGTTTAGTTAAGACTTGAGAGTATTTATATATATATATATATATATATA